CAGAGAGCAGAGACAGTCAGGACCAAAGAGCTGGATCATCAACACTGAAGCTTCTTGTCAACTAACACTAGAATTCAGCCGTGAATGTGGGGCTGGGAAACACCAGACAGCTGCCCAGTACTTTGCAATGCAGTTGCATTGTCAGTACAAACAACTGGATCTGAGAGAAGTAATCTGTGCATAAGGAACGTGCAGGAAAGGCCGCCTTGCAGCATGAAGAACATAAGCTTGTAATCAGTCTGGCTCACAGGCTCATTTACATACAATATAAACACTAGCCTTTGTGTCACCAAGTCCCTCTGCTTGCGTGATTGAGATGATTTCAACAGAGTGTGTGCACATGGCAGCTCCAGCTCTGTGGGTGTACTATAACAACGTGAGCACAGCACCACGTGATCGTCACGTTACACTTTCTCCACACTTTGAATGTTCAGTTTGTAAGATTCTGACTTCAAACCAAAACTCTGATCTGATTATTAATGTACAATCAAGGAATTTACAGTTTAAAAGAAGTGACAAATTCCCAAGGTGGTGATCTCTACATGTCTACCACAACATTCCTGTCATTTTCATTTGCAGAAGGTGAGGACTCTAAGCCTGGTTCAGACCTTTCAGTTTTTAAACCAGATCTACCTCTCCAAACAAACTACACAAATAAATAAATACAGCAGTCAAACTAGAGCGCCACAGCAGATATTTGATACCTCAACCTAAGCCCTAAACAAACCAGCTGTTTTCTGCACTCTGCTGTGCACAATACAAAGTATGTGGCCCGTGGGATACATTTGCATGCAAACTGCATACACAGACATAAGTCTCTGAGAACCATTGAATGTTACTTAAGGGAACTTGATCCCAAAGCATCCTCATAGCATTGTGGGTATATTCACAGCTGTAGTAACAGCTTTCCACTTGTTATGTCTCCTAAAGCTGCATTAACTAAGATTTAGCACAAATTTAGATAAGTCAAGTAAAAACAGTCTAAAAGTGTTTTCTCCCTGCTGTACTAACCCCCACTCCCCTCTGCTATCTTCAGGCCTTGTGTTTATTTCTTGCCCTCTGTGGCCAATGCTGTTAAAATCCACACTGCACTTCTTTCACACCCCCACTGATCTGAGGTTAAAAGACGTGTTTTTCAAACCAGTGTGGTTTCAAAGATGGACAGCGGAGATTGCCCGTGCAGGTACCACCCAGGATGGGTGGAGACCTGTTAAACCCAAGAGGGCACCGCAAAGAACACGACAAAGAACGAGGTAAAACCAGGGTTAACATCGGTTTGGCATGTCAGAGATGAAGAGCATTAAAAGGCAACATGTATATGTTGGCATCACTAGCACACTAATATTAGTACTTCAGTTTTGTACCTTTGTATTGAATTATTCTGGTTGTTATTTACAGTCATTCCAACTGGCTGCAACGTTAGTGTTTTGTTGTCCAATTAGCAGAAACCTAGCGTGTTTTCCTGGATTAGCAAATGAAGTCATTTTGCTAATTTTTGCTTGGCTCTGGTTCAGTTTGTCAGACATAACACTGCAGTCTGTGGCATTTTACTGAGAAGTTGTTAAAATTTACACCATGAACATAAAACTGGGGAGTTTGTTCAACTATCAAAGTGTAACATGAAATTTCTCTTGTTTTCCATACAACTCAAGGTTATATGTGTCAAGTATGTGACATTGAACGTGATGGCAGCCAGAGCATTCATACTGTATCAATATTACTGGGAAAACACATCCATTTTATAATTTGCTTGTGTTACTGTAGATATATTTGCTACAAATAATGTTAGGCATAAATATGCATATCACTAAAATGTGAGGCTCTTTATTTGACACTGTGTCACTGGGGGGCAAAGAGGAGCAGAGGGGGGATATTGCTTGAGTTTGTTTTGACTCTCACTTTGCCCTTAATGGTCAAAAATTAGAGGGAGAAGTTAGTTAATGCAGCTTTAACTGCTGTTTTCGAACCAAATCTAATCAGGAACAACATTAGCAGGTCTTATTTCTCCTTTCACAGCTCAAAGATGCCACTGTTAAGGTCTGTTCTCTTCTGTCAGCTGTCTTGACAGGGTGTCACATGGCCTTTCCCTCATCAGCTGCTTAACCCAAAGCAGTAACCAGGCATACAGTCAGACATTTCCCTTTTCATAGTTTTTAATGCAACTCCTTGACAAGATGTGACACAAAGTGTACCTTTTGTGCAATTAAAGCTTTCTTGAACTAAGGAACCTAAATCTAGTCCTCATGATCCACATAAATGTGACCAGTCTCCAAAACTGTGAATTTTATGCTAAATTATAACTGATATTTGCTTCCCAATACTGACCCAAGTCACACAACCAAGTTAATTTCGCAGAGAGCACAGCTGGCATTCCTAGATACGGATTAGCTGGGGAAGCTGTGTCTCAGGAGGTAGAGCGGGTCGCCCCCCAACTGTAGGGTTGGCGGTTCAATCTCCGGCTTCTCCAGTCCACATGTAGAGCAGCGCGATATAAGACCGTTTACCATTTTACCCAGAGTTATCAACATTCACAGTATTTTTACAATATCTGAATTGAAGACAATTTCAAAACAGCATTTCTAATCTATATTCTCACTGCCAAATCACTTGCCCTGTGGCTCAGGACCCCAAAAACAGTCATATGTGGCAAAATTTTATTAGTATTAGTCAACTCTTTTTTCCCTTTATTTCTCATTCTCATGCCTGCGCTACTTTAGTTTTAACAACAGAAGCCTTTCAGCTTGAGCCTACAGAGAGCTACTTATGACAAAAGATCAGAAAGATAATGAGAAGCCTTATTACGAGTCACGTGTCAGTGGCGGATGCGTGCATACTGCATGTCAGATCTACACATGGTCATTAACACAGTAAAATCCAAATAAGAACTCACATCCTTCCACCAAGTTAACACTTTGTGCTACAGTAAGTTGGAGGTGTAATCCAGTAGCAGAGAAAGGAGTGTTTTTTTCAGAGTAGCATTTAGCAGGGAGTGTGGTGGGGTCTGATGTCCCTGTGTTAGGGAGTGCGTAGTATAGCATTGTGTATGCTGCCGACAAAAGTCAGGTCGGTGGAGAACCCAAGTTTAACCACTCATTGTGCAAGTGTCCTTGAGCAAGGCACTACTGCCTGAACATCTCCACCTTGCAAGGCACTACTGCCTGAACATCTCCAGCCAGGTTCTGACCTCACTGTGAAGACGAGCTGCTGCGATTTCAGTGAGGTATCATAATATTAAAACACTTTTAGCTCTTATCAAAGTTTTGGTTTTATGGGAGGTGGTGCACAACAAACACATTTGCTCAGACAGACCGCCACTCTGCAATCACATGAACTACTAACTGAACTGTGATAATGTGTAGATACTGCAGGTTTGCTATAGCAGCAGGAGAGTCAGAACACAGCAGCGGTTCATACCCCCATGCAGTGCCTATATACAGTATGTCTGCAGCACTTCCATTGCAGCTCTATCATTTAGAGCGGCCCTTCTGCAGTAATTGCACCTCCTATTGCGATCTCAAAAGCCCAAAATATCACGTACGGCCCTCATTTTCCAAGTGGACTCAACACTCCATCTCATGTCGTAACTATAACCGGTGTTTAAAGTGCTAAAAGTAGCCTCTGGATGGATGTTTCAAAATGACTGGTACCAGTTTTTTTTTTTATGTGGTTTCCATGTGAGAGTGGGTATACAGGAGTCTCCAGAGCCTTACATAGACAAGCAGTATTCTTTATGTTGGCTCTCCGAGTAAGAAGAAGCAATTACACTCAGAGTTATGGAGAAGGCCATCCAGCCGATATGTTAGAAGAAGAACAAACCTTTGTCCATGGCTCTGTTGTCTTATGGAGACAAAAGGACTACTTATGTTTAGAGGTACCAGTACAATAACAAAGTAATTACTCAAACTTCAAACTAAACCTTGAACGTCTACTTTGCTGTGCGGGTTAGCTGCTCTTACTACACACACACACACACACACACTTTAAAGTAATTGTCATCATTGTTTGATTAGTCAGGATGGTGTGAGCACAGTCTAATAACAAAGACAAGACAAAAATGAGGCTCTTGTGTATGTGCTAATTAAATGGTACCATTAGAAAGAACATGTGCAGTCAAACTTTTAGCCCGCCCTGCTCTTCATGCCCCCTTTCCTGCCTCCTCCTTTCCCCCAGCGCAGGGAAGGGCTTCCTCTCTGCCTTTTGAAAGGGGTTAAAAACCATCTGGTGCAGGCTAACAGAGTAGGTCAAGTAGATTGGGGGTGGGGGGCACTAAGAGGGTCAAACTACAGACTGCACTCCGCAGTAAGACAGGACGCAGGCTGTCCTGACTCCTGATCACACATGAGACCCTCAGAGCCAGGGGACACACAGTACATCCTCTGCCTTGCAAGATGAAGGATACTTGCATAGAGAGGATGTGGTGAGAAAACAGTCTGTTTCCCCAAGTGTTCAGATTTATCAAAAAGTGGAGTTAACAAACAAACTGGACTTTATACATTATTTTTGATAGGAGCTAATAGGTTACTATCTTTCACTGCTGCATGATCCAACTAACTTAGAACCAGCTGTAAGCCAGTAAGCACAGTGATGTGAGATTGTGATCTACATGACACACCAGTAAAGCCTTCATTATCCTGGATCATCACGTCGTTTTTCCCTGTGGCTGACGCATAAGTTGCATTATATCCCTCTGGAATAAATGGGTTAAAAGGGGAGCAGGCGTGGAAACAGTGTGGCTATCTACGTGTTATTACAAACACTTCCAGCTGTGGAGTTTGGCTCTGATCAGTCTGGATCTGGGACGGAACTGCTCGACCGTAATCAATCACGATAGGTAATGAAGTACCAGGCTATTGTTTCCATGAACAGAGCGGAGACAATTAGACTCAAATGTCCTCTAACAACTGAATAGCACACCAAACCTGTGGCTTTTAAACGGAGAGTAACGTTAGACATCTGCAACACAAAGAATAACGGTTGCTTTAGGAAAAACCTACTTACCGAGGAGCGTGTGTGTGTTCGGCGGCTCTAACGTTAACTTTCTGACACTCGGCCCCGTCAAACAGGAAAAACACTCCACCATTCACAAACACAAAAGCGGCGCTAGGGTACCAGGGAAAACCGGTTTTCTCCCAACTTCTCCCCAGGCTGTTTTTAAAGTCAAAGGGTGCACAAAACCGACTTCGAAGGCATCGTTTTTTCCCTGTCCCCGCCTCATGCAAACCTTTCCAAAGGAAGGTTAGCTCGTTTCCATCCCGCCTCAGTCAGTCGGACACTTTCTAACCGAAGTAGCCGCTGATGTGCGTGTCCACACCAAACAGCTTAAGTCCAGGAAAACCTCCCTCACACGCCTCCACTCTCACTTTCCCTCTGTCGAAATTAACGGCCCCGTTAAGTGGTTAAAACAAAGGAGAGATTCTCCCCCTCCGACGTGTACCCCGGCCGCCCTCTCTCTCCTTGCAGCGTCGTCAGTTGGTCCGTTAGGGCCGGAGGGAGGGGGGGCCACGGGGGCGCAGCTCTAACAAGCTACCTGGAGATTTCTCAGCTGATGTAATAAACCAGGCTGGATCACCAACCAGGCAAAGCGGGCAACTCCCCAGGGGCCCCAGACCACCAGGGACCCAAAAGGCCCAGATTTAGTCAGACTGAGTAGGCCACATGCAGTCCTACTTTGCATAATTTGATCAGCCGCTAATGTGTTAGAAATGACACCTGTGTCAAAATCCAGGGCTTGTTTTGGTTTATGTTGCTCTCACTTGTTGCAAAGCTTGTTTGATCAAATTTCTTCAGTTTTTTTTATCTGTGTAAAATTATAAAATTCATAGAAAACCTCAGGCAAGGTAGTATTTATCCATCCTGAGGGGCCCCAGGTTCATCCATCACCACTAAGCTATGTGGTCAAACCCTATTTGTTAAGTTTATATTGCCTTTCCATCAGTGGTGGAAATTAACTAAGTACATTTACTTAAGTACTTGAGTAATGTGCATACTCAGGTTGTACACTCACTACTGACTATTTGCGCACACAGCTCCCATGTAGCATACATTCTCTCTTCATTATATTGTGTTCTCCTGGTATTTATTTATTAAGCTTCTTTCGTTTGCTGTTTTAAAGTGCCTTAGATTTTTGTGTTCTTGACTTATCTACTTTATATTTCACTTGTATTGTGTGACATCCATGTGGACGGCAAAGTAAGAATTTCATACAGGGAAACAGGTTTCCTTACTGTGCATATGACAATAAACACTTTGACTTAAGTAGAATTTTGAGGAAACTGTACTTTTGTATTTTTATTTTGTTTCTTCATACTTCGACTTCACTACATTTTAGAGGCAAATATTGTCCTTTTTACTCCACTACATTTATTCTATAACTCTAGTCAAGTTACTTTTCATAACCAGATTAATGCAAAAAATACAGCATAAGACTTCAGTGATATATGGTGGGAAATTGACAAGCTACCCAACAGATATTCAGAGTAAAAGCATTAAAACCAGCTCCTACTTTACCAGCTGCAACATTAAATGTTAAATAATGTAATTAAAATACAATACTATGATATACAGGAATGTGAAAGGTGCCATTCTGCATAATGAGTACTTTTACTTTTAGTATGTTTTGATGCTAATACTTTTGTACATTTACTTAAATAACATTTGCACCAGGCTCCGTGGGTGGTGACCGTTCAATGTGAAGAACGGAGCTACAGCTGTGAATGCTGGAGCACCTCACTTCTCTCCACAGGGTCTCCTAGAGGAGGAGGTGTCTGTGTGCTGTGCCAGGGAGAGGGTCTTATTTATTTATAATCATGACCATGACTGGCCACAACGCTAACAGGTCCCCAACTACACCCACAGGTGCCAGTTGTTTACCACTTTCAGGGTGTTCACAGTTGACATATGGAAGGCAATGATTTGTTTAGACAGGTTTGACTAGACGGAGCAGACCATAAGGATTATAATTACTCTGACATGACTTTAATGCTCTAAAATATCCCACTAACTTGATGTTTCATTGGCACATTATTGTAAGAAACTGAATTTCCATGAATATTGAGCAGCAGACAAGTGTTTGGTGGTACTAAGAATAAAAGAAACTGCAGATTAAATAGGTGAGCAGTGGAAAGTCTTGATTTCTGGTACATAGTGATGAACTGATGTCACTGACGAGCTCCGGTACTCCTGTGATTTTTTTTGTGTGTCAAAGTCTGTTGACAGGTGTTGGGACGTTCTACTGCATATGTGAAAACAAAGTTGCGTAAAAGCTTTTATTCCTCCAGAAGGAGCTACAGTATTGTTGAAAATAATAGCAGTACAATGTGACTAACCAGAATAATCCAGGTTTTTAGTATATTTTTTATTGCTACATGGCAAACAAGTTACCAGTAGGTGCAGTAGATTCTCAGAAAGCAAACAAGACCCAGCATTCATGATATGCACGCTCTTAAGGCTGTGCAATTGGGCAATTAGTTGAAAGGGGTGTGTTAAAAAAATAGCAGTGTGGCATTCAATCAGTGAGGTCATCAATTTTGTGAAATAACAGGTGTGAATCAGGTGGCCCCTATTTAAGGATGAAGCCAGCACTTGTTGAACATGCATTTGAAAGCCTGAGGAAAATGGGTCGTTCAAGACATTGTTCAGAAGAACAGCGTACTTTGATTAAAAAGTTGATTGGAGAGGGGAAAACCTATAAAGAGGTGCAAAAAATTATAGGCTGTTCAGCTAAAATGATCTCCAATGCCTTAAAATGGAGAGCAAAACCAGAGAGACGTGGAAGAAAACGGAAGACAACCATCAAAATGGATCGAAGAATAACCAGAATGGCAAAGGCCCAGCCAATGATCAGCTCCAGGATGATCAAAGACAGTCTGGAGTTACCTGTAAGTACTGTGACAGTTAGAAGACGTCTGTGTGAAGCTAATCTATTTTCAAGAATCCCCCGCAAAGTCCCTCTGTTAAAAAAAAGGCACGTGCAGAAGAGGTTACAATTTGCCAAAGAACACGTCAACTGGCCTAAAGAGAAATGGAGGAACATTTTGTGGACTGATGAGAGTAAAATTGTTCTTTTTGGGTCCAAGGGCTACAGACAGTTTGTGAGACGACCCCCAAACTCTGAATTCAAGCCACAGTACACAGTGAAGACAGTGAAGCATGGTGGTGCAAGCATCATGATATGGGCATGTTTCTCCTACTATGGTGTTGGGCCTATTTATCGCATACCAGGGATCATGGATCAGTTTGCATATGTCAAAATACTTGAAGAGGTCATGTTGCCTTATGCTGAAGAGGACATGCCCTTGAAATGGTTGTTTCAACAAGACAATGACCCCAAACACACTAGTAAACGAGCAAAGTCTTGGTTCCAAACCAACAAAATTAATGTTATGGAGTGGCCAGCCCAATCCCCGGACCTTAATCCAATCGAGAACTTGTGGGGTGATATCAAAAATGCTGTTTCTGAAGCAAAACCAAGAAATGTAAATGAATTGTGGAATGTTGTTAAAGAATCATGGAGTGGAATAACAGCTGAAAGGTGCCACAAGTTGGTTGACTCCATGCCACACAGATGTGAAGCAGTTATAACAAACTGTGGTCATACAACTAAATATTAGTTTAGTGATTCACAGGATTGCTAAATCCTAGAAACAAAAACGTTTGTACAACATAGTTTTGTGTTTGTACAGTCAACGGCAGACACTGCTATTTTTTTGAACACACCCCTTTCAACTAATTGCCCAATTTCACAGCCTTAAGAGCGTGCATATCATGAATGCTGGGTCTTGTTTGCTTTCTGAGAATCTACTGCACCTACTGGTAACTTGTTTGCCATGTAGCAATAAAAAATATACTAAAAACCTGGATTATTCTGGTTAGTCACATTGTACTGCTATTATTTTGAACAATACTGTATAATCCACCGCTGGATAAGCATCAAGCACCGAAAAAAGTAAAGATGCTGTTCTCTCCATTCCAGTGAACCTCTGAAAAGTCCAACCTGTCAGTGTTATCCCTTGATATACAAAAGCAAACAAAGATTTACACCACTCCCAAATAACTATCCAACACACAAATACTGTATATACATATGAAACAGGCAAGGTAAAGGCTATGGCGTGTCTCGACAGGCTCAGTTCCAATGCCAACGAGTTCTGAGAAAAAGAAAGTATGTGACAAAGAAATCAGGTAGTATTTTCCTAGACTGTGCCCTGAGGTAACCGACAGCAGACGAATCACTGAGGCCTCCTACATTATAGACAGGATGTCACAATAACAGTTTCTATGAGGCTTAAATTCTGCTTATGTATTTGTCACTTTAGAGTGTTTAAAATTAAGTAATTGTTGTCCATAACAAAATCATGGTTTCTAGTTACTGAAATGATTTGACTATATAATGCATTTGTTACACATGTTTATTACATGGACTGTCAAAGCCTGTTTTGGCTAAAATCAGACATATTAGGCCTTTCTCTCTGAAGAGGAAGTGATGGACCTTTAACCTCTCAGCTTCATGGACTGCACCCACTCGCCATTGTGCTCACATACTTAACTCACAAAAGGAGCTGTTGCTTGGTCAGGTCTACTTCTGGCTCTGTCGGATGGGAGCAGAGCAGATGCTGTGACAGGAAGTTGCTAACATGGTCCAGATGTGAGGACAAGAGACCACCTCCGACATAACTAGAAGACGTGGATGACTGAAGGCGGCGAACACGGACATACACAGGATGCAGGATCCCAGCGCGGAAGAAAGACCCATCAAAAGACGTGTTCATGTCATTTATCTTGAAAAAATGGATATCAAATCTCACACTGAGGTTTTTTGTTTTGTCTCTCCTAATTCACTGTGGAGGAACGCAAAAGCTTTGTTCAGTAACTTCATTTTAGGGAGACATTATATACTGTAGTGTGTTCAAGACTTCTACACAAAATACATATCTAGTAATCCATCGATGCTTTAGCTGTCGGTCATTAGGGGCCTGGAGCCTGTCTCAGGATAGGTCAGCAGTCTTTAGATTTACCATTTACCCTAGCCTGTATGTTTCTGGACTGTGGGAGGGAATGAGGGCACCCAGAGGAAAGTCCCTGGCCTCAAGTATCATCGCTGAAGGTATTCAGTCAACATTCAGGCGCCCTCTAGCTTTTAAAATGATGCAGTGCAACAAAGTGACAAGAAAAGCAGCCAGGGAGCCACTATTTTGACAACTGCTTTTTAAAAATGATTGGGTATGACTTTTACTCTGAAATCCAACACCAGAAATGACTGCTGAGCACAAAACTATATGTACACATGCAACAAGTTTCAGATTAAAGATGAAATTACTCAGTTATAAACAATATCATGAGAGTCAAAACTTTCTCCACCAGAAATATCTATAGGACATCCATGGTGGCAACGCTACAAGAAAAAGGACAATGAAGAAAAGAGAAACTTATTTAGCATAACTCCATAAAGGCTACACATGAACAGCTTACCAATGAGATGTCAAAACCTTTCATAGCAGAGAAGTAGAGTACACCCTGGACAGGTTGGCAGTCAGTAACAGGGTGAGACGACAAAGTGAATTGCTTAACAGGATCTACAGCATGCATCCACATGGGCAGCTCTAAGGGCTTATGTCTTTGGGTTTCATTAGGAGTTTTCCACTGTCGGACTGCAGACCCCCCCCAGAGAGCTGTGTTCACCTCTGAGCAAACGGAGGAGCGTTCATGTCTCCCCGGTCTGCAATGTTTAGTCCATCAAACTCACTAATCCTCATCTTCCCCTTCATCAATTAAGGCCATCCTCCGTCTACGCTTCACAGGAGCAGAGATATCCTCCCTGTCTGAATCCGCATCACTATTGGTATCCACATCCATCCGAGCGGTGGACTCATCCTCTGTAAAGACAGCACAGTCAGCTGCAGCAGTTCAGTCAGAACTAAACACCAGCGCTGTCTGAGACACGTTAGTGGTGCTGGACTACTTTGGCACAAATGTTAAATATAAGAAGTGGCAACCTTGTGTCACTTTGAACCTTTAGTTTTACAGGATTTCTGGCTGGGTGGCCAGTTAGGGAGGATTTAAATTATTGTGTTTAAACACCAATAGTGTAAAATACCATTGTCCTCATCCAACACTCTGCTTCTTTTAGTTGAGGTTTTCTCTTGGGACCTGATGTAAACACGAACAGATGAAGAATTAAGATGATTTAGAATTAAATATAACCATTTTAAAGGCGTGGCGGGGTTTAACAGAAATGCAGGGCAGTGCCTTACCTCGCAATTGCACTGTCCATATCCTCATCAGGGCTGACATCTTCCACAGGATCTAAAAATAAAAACACAACAAACACCATCTTAATCCTCAACTAGCAATCGATTTAAGACAACAGATTTCAGCTGGTGTAAAATGTTAACTTTTAAATGCTTTACCCGCTACAGTGAACATATCCCCATGGTTTTAGTTTCAATTCTAAGGCAGCTTAGCTATTTCTTAAATTATTTCAGTGTATATTCTCAGGAAGCTGAAGCATAAATATTGATTTGATACCATATTCTTGGCTATGTGACAAGCTAAAGAAGGCTATAAAAAAGTTGTGCACCATCTAACAATGCTCACATACAGGACAGAGCTGTCATTAACCAGTGTCATCTGACACAACAAACAGCGACTGTGAATCTACCACACATACCGGTATGCTCGGTGCTGTGGTGCTTCTTCCTGCGTGCGAGTAGCAGAGCTCTCAGAGCTTGAGCTCTCTGTTCACCTGAGACCTCATCCTCATGGGCTTCTGCAGCTGGGCTCCTGGGCCTTTCTTGCTCCTCGCCATATTTAGGTTCGTCCTCTTGTGGATTAAGAGCTGCGGCTGCACTCCGGAGCTGGGATGCGCTGATTTTTGCTGGGATTCTCCAGAAAATCTCCTGATTACCAAACAGCCAAAAAAAAATCCAATTAATTAATATGTAAAAGTTACAGTGCATTTTATCTTCCCTTCAGGTGTTGTCTATTTTATTCATTACTTTGCGATGTTATTGCCATTTTGCAATCCAACACATAAACTACATACTGTCTCCAATCAAATCAAAGTGCAGATCAAAGGGCTATGATTGGAATGAGGTGAAATAACTGACCTGCTAGTGAAAAATCAGGCAAAAAAAACAAAAAACTAACCTGCTCACTTGCAGGCGGTCGCATTCCCAGTTTGCGTAACAGCCTCTGGAAGCTCTTGTTGTCCATAGCGTCTTCATTTGCCTCTGCCAGAGGGACTAGTGCCACCGGCTGGGAAAAACCTGTGGAATGGACAACAGCATTTTAACCCCCCACCCCAAAAAACCTGCTGCAGTAACGTAAGGAAAGAACACAGGATGAAAAAGGTTCTGATTTGAATATTTTCGAAGGTTTTCATTACTTGCACTTACCATCTTTTTCACGGTCCTCTGCTGTTTTATTAAGACAATTCTGTATCCATAACAGGGGTCCAGACATGCCTGTTAGAAAACAAAAACCAACAGGAAACATTTTTACATCATCTGTCCATTTCCATTTAACTAACAGGAGGAGTGCAGGAGAAAACAGCAGAAATCTCAAAAACTGTTCCCGAGCTTTGGCCTTTGTCTCACCTTCCTGTTGTAGCGCCTTCACCATGAGGCCCACATCTGCTCTCCTTTCCACTGTGGGGTGTATGCTTTGGCTTTTCTTTGTGCTGTTTTCTGATTCTTCCATCTCCCGCTCATCATCCTCCTCTTCTTCACTCTCTTCAGACTTGTCCTCTCCATCCTCTCTATCCAGGAAATCATCTGAGACACCTTGAGTTAGTTCTGCAAGGAACTCTTCTTCAGTCTGTGGCAGAACATGAATTAAATCTTTCGTAAAAACACTGCATCATTATAATCTTAATTATAATGTTTATATGTCCATGATATTCTTAATATTAAAATTCTCAATCTAATTTAAAGCTTCAGTGTAAAAGACCAAAGTCAACCTTACCATTCCTTTTCCAGAGCTCTTCCCTGGAGCGTTACGACTTTTCTTCTTATAAAGCTCGCGTCTCTCAGATACCATGCCCATGCTGAGCAGCTTGTCCACCACACGTGCACGGGACCGCTTGGCTGTGAGCTTTCTTAGGATATTACCCAGCACATCTGTGAAAATACAACTGGTTTTCATCACTAAAGAGAATCACCACGGCTCCTTGATGTATTCCTGAGATTGCTCTGGTACAGAGACAGAGGCACAGTGAAAAGCCACACACTATACAATGAGTCCAGTACCATCAGAGTCTTTGTACTCCTCAAACAGCATCTGCAGCTCTTGCTCCTGCTCCTCAGTCCAAAGAACAATCTGGGTGCCTTTCCTTTGAATTAAAAAAAAAGTTTTTAAAATTTGCAGTATAGTCACACTGCAATATATTCCTCAGTACATTTACTCCGTCTGTATAGAGGACGTACTTCTGCTTCTTCAGTTCCTTAGCGTCGTCCACCAGGCCCATATGCACCAGCTGCGTCACTACCTGGCGCCGAGTGCGGGTGTTGTTGCCGAGTAATGGCAGCAGAGTCTCCACTATATCTGGCACTGAACACCAGAGTACAACAAACTGAATTTTAGCTTACGGCATCTTGTGACATATAACAGAGCAGACACAAAAGATGTGCAGACAAACAAAAGGAAAGTAAACCTTCAGAATGCCGGTGCTCCTCATAGAGCCTGCGCAACTCCTCTTCCTCCTCTTCAGTCCATGTTGGTTTCTTTCCCTTGCTGACATTTTTGGGACAGTAAGATGTAATATTACAAATTCCAGAACCCAAGATTTGCAATTTACTAATAATGCCATATGTATTAATAACTAAAATAAGAGTGCTTATTTTAACACATAAAAAAGAAAGAGAGAACCAACTCCTCTTTGCTGTAGCCCTCTGTCATCTCACGTACAGCCCCCACATTTTTCCAGAACAGCAGTTCCACATATGCCTTGTTGTTTTGTGCAACCAGTGAAAAGAATCGATTCAACACGTACTTGGCAAAGGTCACTATTTCCTGTAAAGGAGAGTAAGGGAGGTAAGCGCTGGCGTCTAATCTGAGGTAGAATTCATATCACCAGAGCTTTTATCTTCTCTTGTGTTATTATCAGTGGTTGAAAGTACATTTACTCAAGTACTGCACTTAAGTACAATTTTGAAGTATCTGTACACTGAGTACTGAGTACTTCTACACTTTATTGATCCCTGGTGGGAAACTCACAAGCTAGCCAGCAGTAATTCAAAGAATGAGGTAGTTAAAACCAGCCCCCCCTTTACTAGTTGCAACATTAAATGTGATGTACACAATAGTTTCAGTAATTACAACCAATAATATAGTATACATTAATAATAAATGTGCCATTTTGCATAATGGCTACTTTACTTTTCATACTTTAACTAGATTTGGATGCTAATACTTTTACTTTAGTAATATTTTTAATTCAGGACTTTCACTTGTACCAGAGTATTGCACTGTTGTACTGCTGCTTTTACTTAAAGAGCTCATGACATGCTTTTCCTTGTTTTTTGATTTATCTACAATGTTACAACAGTGAATTATCATCTTAGATGTGACCTAAAGCCCAAAAAATGAGGTGTACATATGTTTGCAAATGAATTAATGCCTTTGAGGTTTGTTGTGCTGTCCATTTGTGACAACAGCGGCGACAGGGGTTGTGCGCATTCACGAACTATCCTCTCATTTTTAGGAAGAGGTTCTCTGGTTTTATCATCCTATAATAATTACAGGCTATTTGGAGATATGACAGGTGCACAGCTAATCTAGAGGTACCCATGATTAAATGGCTGGAAATGAGCATGCCATGGGCTCTTTAAGTAAGGGCTCTGAGTACTTCTTCCACTACTGGTTATTACTGCACCATGTAAGCAGCTGCAGCAGGGTCACTCAGGATTTTGTTGAAAAGGTTGAAGACCGACAGCTGGAAAAGCAGCGCGTCCATTTTGAGGTCGACAGCCAGGCGGTGCAGCATTCGAATAATGCAGTGGTTTACGTGAGGTGTGTTTTTTGAGTATGACTTTAGAAGGAGGAGGTATGGGCGCAGGACGCCAGGGTTGGCAAACCTGTGAGAAGCAAGGAAAGGAAACACGTCCTATTAGGAAGGTCCCAAAAACATAGGGTAAGTTACTGTAACTGTTCTCCTCACCTCTTGATGAAGTCTAGAAAGTTGAACTCTGTTTCAGAAACCTGCACAGACTCCAACTCTTCTTCTTCTTCTTCTTCTAACTCTGCTCCATCCAGACTCCAACTCTTCTTCTTCTTCTTCTAACTCCGCTCCATCATCCTCCTCTTCCACTACAGGCTCCAGAGGAGAGGACCCTGAAATTAAAGGGTAATGTTTGAATGCCATGTAGGAAACATGCATTAATCATGTCTACTTCATATAATTTCTCTTCGGTTTTCACAAGGGGAACATTTCCCAAGGTTCTGAAGAGCAACAGGAACATGTGCCAAAGACTTTAGATAATGTGACATACTTGGCGAGGCATAGCCATTGTCGAGGAGGAAATCATTAAATCCCATGCTTATAACCCTACTGAATATAGCTGAGCTGAGGAGCGGATTTCATATCGATAACCATCACCATACGCTGTCTGGAGAGATGGTGCAACACTGGACACTAGGGATGGCTATGATTCATCAATTAATCTAAGTTATGGTGATGGTGCTACTGCAACTCTAGTCGCAGTAGACATTTTTCTGACGCTTTATAGTCAAACCATTAATCGACTAATTCAGAAAATAATCAAATTAATCAGTACTGAAAATAACCATTAGATGCATCCCTAAATCAAAGTGTCAATAACATAATTTCAAAAACGCACTTGGCAGGTTGGCGTGCAGGATCTGCTTGAGGAGTTCCAGTTCCTCTTCAGGGTCCACATCAGCTGAACCAAACACGTCTCCATCTGGCCACACCTCCCTTAGGACGACAGAAAAAAAGTCTCAAAAATGTAAAGACCTGGATCAAGACCTAAACAATGTGATTAGTCTGAGAGACTGATGGGAACACAACTGAAATGAAATATGGTCAGCAAATGAATCAACAGCATTTATTAAGGTTGTTTATTAAAGCAAAAACAGCAAATGTTTCCTGATTCTAGTTTCTCAAATGTGAAGATTCGCTGGGTCGATTAAATGTTAGTGTTTGTTTTATGATGTTACCGTAGGCTCTCAAAACTTGTGATGAGATTTCACAATAAATAAATTCAACTACAAAAAAGCATGAGAAAATTGATCAATACGATACAATAGTGAGTCTCACTGACCTGGCAGCTCGCAGCAATCCCAGTGCTTCTGGTCCCAGTCGAGCCAGTAGGGCGTCCTGCACTCGCACCATAGCCTCAGCCCGCTGCTCCTCGAGAGGAGTCTCCGATGTGGCGTCGAACGGCACAACACTTTGGGTTAAAGCTTCAGACAGCTGCAGACAGAGGACAGAAAATTGCCAATCAGTGTTGTTGAATTTAGCCCTTTTCACTCTATTCACTGGTGTCTGAAAATTATGTTTTTAAATGCTTAAAGGGAGTCTTTATTATGCAATTTTAGTAAACCTCTTGAAGTGAAAGGCTTTGCACAATACGCTCTCTGACAAGCTCTCTCTAAAACACAAGCAACTCAAAGAAGAGGATATGTGCTCTGTGCTTCCCCTTGAGGTTGATTCACACACTTACCTGAAACCCTATAGCCTTCAGCTCCTCCTCCACAATCTTCCAGGTCTCCGCCAGAGCTTCTGGGCTAGTTTCTGGAGTGGATGGCTTTTTTGCACCTCGAGACTTTTTCCGCCTCACCTTCTTCTTCTGCAGTTACCAGAGCTAGATATTAACATTTTGAGCGGGTGGTAATCGCAATTATTAACACTAAACAAATTTAATCGAAGAATTTACCTGAACCATCAGGTTTCTGCGGCCTTTGCAGAAACGTTCCAGCATACGCATGAAGAGATGAGTTGACTCCACCAAGTCTTTGAGGTAAGAGGGAGGCTGCCTGGTTTCATCATACTTCCTCAGCAAGGTCAGGAAAATCTCCCTATATTCCATGAGGTAGAATATGTTACCTAGAAGGTAAAGGTATACAGATGAGGAAACTAACACTACATTTACATGCAAAACCATTATTTCAGACTTAAAGCAGTTAAAATTGACTACTGTCTTAGTAGTACATCCATATACTTGAAGCATTATGCAATTATGAGGCAAAACTGTGTTGTATTTAAGTCCAAGACTAGGCCATAATTGAAATGTTCTTACTGAAAGGAATATGACATATGAACCACAGCTGGTAGCAGCTTACTTTTAATGACGCTGGAACTCTGACGGATGCTTTCGTCCTGTGAGCGGTCCATCTCATTCACAGATAACAGCAGTTCTTGATATGCCTTCAGAGCCAGGTGCATCCTAGAAAGAACAGATGAGACCAGTCTGGGGCCAACTCACAGATTTGTTTCTGTGAAATCTGCCATTATAAATCTTCTTACCTGCGGGACCAGGACGTGGCCTCTTTGCGGTCAGTAAGCATCATCTCATAGTAGTTGGTGATGTTACGCTCAATGAAATGGAAAGCACGGATGGACATGGTCTCAGAAACCAAGTCAGCACGGAATCCGTTGCCACGATTGAAAGCCATGAAAAAGCTGAGCGCCCAGAGGTAATAGGTCTCATCATGTTGCTGAGTCTGCTCTCGAATCAGACCCTCCTTTAGAAAGGCAAGGACAAAACAATATGACAAGAAAAACTTCAACAAATAATAATTACATCAGATGTCCTCTTTACTCAGTGTAATTTTATAGATGTAACTCACATACACACACTGCAATGTTCTTGTATATCATATTGGTCCAAGTGCTTTCTCATTTTCTTGCATCTTGCTTTTTATTTACATCTTTACTAAAACATGATACAAATGAAGACTTAATGACTGTGCTACTATATCTGATGATGTGATGTGGTGGCGTCCAATTTGCCACATGTATTCTCCTCAACGAGATTCACATATGTCCATTATCCTACTGGGTCTATGCTACAAAAAAATCATTAACTCCACAGCAGCTCACCTTGACAAGGTACATGAGCCGATTGTAGCAGTTCTCCAAGAAGTCCACACAAAACTCTCGAAGGAAGATTCGAACATTTAAGGCTGAACGGCGCTTGACTTTAGATTCCTGGGCCTGTCGATTCCTCTTGGGAACACGCCTCACTGCTTTGCCAGTGTCATGAGTGTAGCTTTTAAACTACAAAATGAACAGCACAGACACATGAAATAATTTGTGCTAACATCACTACTTCTAATACTAGGATTTCCTCATATCAGAGATGACGGAAGTTGCCGTACTCACATTATGAAGATTTCTGTGATAGATCACATCTTTGTCTCCGATTGACTTGAGACCCCGAATAACATAGGACCCTCCAAAGCGAGAGTGTCTGGGGAAAAAAGAAATAAATAAAAATCAAGAAACAAAATGCCTCTGTAGTCTCATTTAATCACTTGTAGGCAACAGTCTTTTTAAAGCTATGTAAAAGCATTAATGCTCATGCATAGGGTATTTTCTAACACATCTTATGTTGAGGGACAATACGTGAAAATGTATTGGCCTTGTTTTAACCACAGACCTTATGTCAAGTGTCTAACCAAAAGCCATTCAAAAACTCATTGACTTCAGGGTGAGGGAACCAGAAGTGCAAAAACACTACCTCAGTTCTGGGTTTTACTACGGCGCTCTATTCTGTTTACACTAAAGAACATCAGCTTGTACGTCACCTGGTTCCTCTTTGTAATGTACGAGAATGTTTCTCTGCGCTCTCCTTCTGCCTCAGTGCCTCCAGTTCCTGAGAATCTCTGTGCTTCTCTTCTGCTGATCGAGCCTGACCAGCGCTCACCAAAATTTCTGGCGTCTGCAAGAAAAAGAAGAAAAGCTCAAACACAAAAAGAAAAACAGCTGTCAAATCACTTTGTGCACCTCCAAAGCTTTCTTCTGTCTAACCTGGTCTCTGAACATGAGGGAGATTATTTCCAATACATGCATACTCCACTGCTGCTCACTCTGGGCAGTCGCCAGGAACTTCACCAGGTCATCAAAACCGCTCATGTGAATGGCCCACAGCAGCCTGTCATGGACACTGGCATCATCATCTACTTTCTAGAGCCAGAAGCAGAGACACAAATTGGGAAGGCTGGAACTAAAGATGATATATTTAAAAACAAATCTTGTCTTTATGACAATTCAGATTCAGGCATCCATGTTAAAGTCAGACCTTCTCTTCACAGGGGTCGGCAGGTACATGAAGCACATTCCTGGCCAGCAGCAGGATCCTCTCTATCAGCAGGTTATCCTCCTCCTGTCGCTGGTCCCAGTCCTGAAAGAGAAGAAGGTGATTAGGGAGAGCCGATAAACAGAACCATTATACTGACACCATCATGTAAAACACGTGGGATGAAGGTAAAGATGCGCTCACCAGCTGCAGAAGGCTGTACAATGTCTCACTTAAAATGCAAAACACCCTTTCACTGGCAAATGCCTGAAAACAACAGAAGGGGACACAAAAGAATTACTCATTACTGTGCAACATACTTAAAATCCAACTCCTCAGTGTTCACTGTACAAACTGAAATACATATTAGAACATAACTGCAACATACTTAAAATCCAACTCCTCAATGTTCACTGTACAAATTGAAATACATATTAAAACATAAATGCAATAGCAGTATTACAGTTGAAGGACGCAATACCTCTTTATAGGCTTGTAAATGAGATGTCACTTGCAAAAAGTGATGTCGAAACACTGGGTCATCAGGGATTTTACCAAAGCAAAGCATGGCAGGCTGAGTGAGGTTAACCATGAGCCTGAAAAAAACAAAACAACAGGTTTTCATAGCTACCAGCAGCTTCTACAGAAAACTAAAATAGCAAGGTGAATGACAATATGTTTAATAACACAATACTTTGTACTAATGCAACAATAATGCTTTGCAATACTGGCACAGACATACGTATGTATTATGATATATTAGCTAATATAAATGTTTATGGCATAGATATCAAGTTCAAGAGAAAGGTTTTGTGTTAGCACTTGTACCTGATGCACACATCAAATAAGGTTCGGTCTTGTCCATGCTGAACGATAATAGGTAAAAGATCATTCTGCACAATCTGGCCTGCACCCAGCTGCTGGCGGACATCACGGGTGTCATCTTCATGACGTAAATACCTGATCAAGTCTTTCACGCTCTCTGCAACACAAAGACAGTTGGAGGATTTTTAATCCATCGTGTTCCTTCAAAAATCTATGAAAACTTTTAATGTATCTAGAAAAACAATGAAATATTTTTGTACAATTTCAAAACCACTCACCCAAGCAATCAGCCTCCTTGTGATAGGTGTCTCCTTCAAGATAGCCAAGAGCACTGCACGTTGCCAGAAGTTCACAGTTCATCTTGAATAGGTCCGTGCACCATCAGCCTAATTAAGGGTGAAGGTTCTGTCCAGTCTGAAGACAAACAAAGGAGACCAGGCAACCTCATCTCAAAATCAAACGAGTATCACACAAAGTTGTGCTCGCAATGAACTTCAGATTTGATCTATTTAATATTTTCTAATAGGAGTGAAACTACATCGTCAGCATTACATGTAAACTTAGTAGCAGTTTAAACATCGTAATCTGACTCATCACTACTGGGTTCCCAGGTTTTCTGATGTATTCATCTACTTTGTATTTCTACTTAAGTGAAATTTAATGACTTCAACTTCTAAAAGCATTTTTTTCAGTGCGGTAAAGTTATTTCACTTCTGCCTATTAATCTAACAAGGTACCATGAACACGTTTAAAACAGCTTGTGTTAAGATAAACAACCTAACAGCATCACCTCTAGACAGGGGGCTCTTCTCCACGTATGTTATGTAGCCGGGCAGTTAGCTTCAGCTAACAGCAGCCTGGCCGCGGTGGGACTTCAGTCTCGGGTCAAAGAAACACAACACAGATCGCTCAAACAGTGTCACACCACAGCTGTCGTGTTCAGCGCCCGCCAGTGTAAACAGTTAAGACCAGTTCCATTAGCATCAGGCTAGTGTCTGTCTAGGTCTCACAACTCTGAGAAGTTGGGTAAATTTCGCGCGAAGACAGCGAGCGGAACACAGACCGGATGTAGAATGTCGTCATTACGTTTAAGTTGTGCCCTCAGTTTTGCATTTCAGGCAGGACCTTCACGGGCGGTGGACCGGTGCCTGAAACCTAATCAATGACATGACTGTGATATGTTTAGATCAAGAAGTTAGTAGTTGGGACCAAGGCTGTTGTCAACAAATCATAAGTCAGATCATAAGTAAAAGTCAGCGAAATTTACATGCAGTGTAAGACAAGGGCATTCTAGACATAGCACTCTACTGGGGCACAGGCCTCTTATTACTCAAATCACAACTATTTTTCTTGAAACAACTACTGGTAAAAGTAAAAATGTGGGGATACTAATCTTTATGAAAACATTTATTTCAACATACATTAAGAACATTGTCAACATGTTGTTATGGCGTAAAGGTCTGGCCCTGTATTGCACATTTCTTTGCATTGTTCTGCATTTCACAATTATAACTAATTTCACTGTCAAGCAGCCATGAATTTAAAAAAATCTCATCATGTTTTGTAACTCATAAAACCACAAAACATACAGTCATGGCCAAAAATATTGGCACCCCTGCATTTCTGTCAGATAATGCGCCACTTCAACCAAAAAACTGTTGCAATCACAAATTCTTTGCTCTCTGCTTTGTTTGCATTGGGACAACACAAAAAGCCAAATCTGATATATTCCACAATGTTTAATTTTATGGTTAAATGGTCATAAATGTATAAATTCAATTACATGTTTATTACTGAGGTCATAATTAAAGGTGGTGTTGTAGTACATTATATTCAGAGATGTTCCTAATATTCTGACCCTCTCAAGTTTGTAGCTGGGCAGGGCCAAGTTACAGAGACACCTCTAAATATAATGTCATCCAGTACAACACCTTTAACTATGACCACAATAATAAATATATAATTGAATTTATACATTTGGCAGTTTCACCAAAAACTAAAACACTTTGAGCTTCATAAACACAGATGTTAACATTTTGTTGTTTACAAGATGAAATGCAACCTGATTAGACCAGTCAGGTGGAAGCTGGGTGGAGCTCTGCTAGTAAGTAATTGCAGAGCTGAAGAAACTCGTTGAAATCTATGCATTCACCAAATAAATAAAAAAAAAGACATTCTGAACACGGAACAGCTCGTTCATGACTGTCACACTTGCATTAGTGAGTTAGTGAGACGTATTTCTGCATGTAACTGTAACAGTTTGATGAATAAAGGTATAACTCTCCAGTTTGTGGTTCGTTACATGTGGCTTTACAAGTAGCTAACTTATCAGCTGAGCTGTTACCTTTATGAAAAACAATTGAACATGGCTTTTCCTCTTTGTTTAAACATTTAACTCTGTATTGCTGTTACTGATAATTTTGGACAGTCGTTCATAACCTAATAAATACATATGTCTGATATCACAGTTAAACTCATAATACATATGGTGAAACCCCTTTATTTGTGACTAATGTGACATAAATCACATACCGTAATCTGTTATGGCAAAGTGTCAAAGTGAAAGCATTTAGCACTTAATATTTCAGAATTGCAATACTAACAAACAGGAAAATTGTTATGAACAGTGTCATGTAATTTCATGATAAACAATGATAATGTACACTTTTTCTGGGAAAATGTAAGTACATAAAATGGATTTTCAAATGTACTGCAAGTAGCCTAAAATGATTTTAACAAAGACGATGTTTAAACAATTATAAACAGGGAACAGCTACAATGGAGAAAGGCTGAAGTAGGACGTCTGTATTTGAAACCCTTTAGGAAAAGGGTGAACAGTGTGAGGAAAATGTACTGGAAAAAGCATTATTCAAATAGAATACCAGTCAATTAAAAATCAGCTATGTGGACAGACAAGAAAACACAGACTTGCTCCAGTTATGTTTATTTGCACTTACATATTCATTCATCAGTCATGCCAGATACACACGACACTGCGAAGCACATTCGGCACTAGTCTTCAGTTGGTGACTGCCTTATCTTCACTGTCATCATTTCTTATGCGTTACATATTTCTTATTGAGCCATGTCTTTGGTGATTTGATGGTTTACACAGTAACAGAATAGCAGCTCTTTTAAAAGAAAATGTGAATGGTTCATTTAATCTCAGTCTTTTAAGAGGTGTTGACCAAAGGGCAGGGTCTGAAGTTTGTTAGTAATTCACAAACTACCTATTTAATGCTTAGCTTAATACTCTGCTGCAAATGTGTGGTCAACAGGATTGCACTGTAAATCAAGGCCTCAGGTGGTATGTTAATAAAGAGGTTTTGCTCAGTCCTACAGATAATATAGGTGTTTAGCAAAAGGTGGGTGACTTAAAGAGCCCTAAAGTGACACTGTTGAAGGAGATTAATGTACTGTAACATTGCACCTATACTGAAAGACTTTGCTACAGATAAACACATAACTAGTGGGAACTTGGACTATATAGGCCAGAGTTTGTCTATTTGTTTTCTCAAGTTTTCAGTTTTTTCATGTTTTTTCTTCTATCATGGCACAACCTTCACATCAGTTTCTATCTACTTTTCCTTGTCGTCCTTGTCGGCTCTATCAGTATGGCCTGAGTCTCTCTCCTTCTCCCTCTTGGATTCCTTCACCACCTGATAGAAAAGAAACAGATCATAACAATTTCCACAGTGCAAATCATATCAAATTAGTTATTTTTGCTTTCTGTCTTATAATTTTTGCAGAATGTCATACCTCTCCATCTCTTGTCTCAACAGTCTTTATCACCACAGTCCTCCTGCTCTGGCTGTCTGGAGTATGTTCGTAGTCTGTCAACAGCCAGATGAAGGAAGGTTGAATCATCACTTATCACAGTTACTGAACACAGATTTTATATATGATTGAAAGGTAAAAATGGAGCCCAGAGACTCTCATCATCTTTTATTTGACCTGGGGAAAAGGTATACTTTACCTCGCTCTCCAAGGTGATTGCTCATGCCGATATTTAAGATGGGAACAGTAATCCTGAATGGGAACATAACATTTTGGTGTTATTTACTAACCTCAATTGCTCTGATGTTCTTAACTGACAGAATTTAATGCTTATTTAAAAATCTGGCTACAGAGAAAACAAAGCATTAACAGTTTACAGCTGTAAGGTGGAAACTTTAACATCCAGAAAAGTCACTATACCACAGCAAAATTCAGCTTTGTCTGATCCCAACACTTTTCCACAATTCCAAAGTCCACAGAGACACATGCATCTAGATCAGGGAGCAATTTTAAGTCTCCAGTCCATCTCTCTTCATATTCTGTTTTTACTTTGAGAAGAACTCCATGCAGAGAGGGCTGAGAAATCAACTTGGAACTTCTTTTCCTACCACATATTGATGGTTATCAATGCTTAAAATGGATCATCCAAAATTTCTGTGCAAAATGTGCTAAACCTGAGACACTGACTGTTCCACCCACCTGTTCTCCTCCCCCTCCAGCAGTTTACGGTAAGTGGCTATCTCAATGTCCAGAGCCATTTTGACATTGAGGAGGTCCTGGTACTCCCGAAGATGACGAGCCATCTCTTCCTTCAGATGGCGGATCTCATCTTCCAGTCTGCCTATATTGTCCTGGTAATTGGCAATCTCATTACCAAACTGGTCCTCCATGTCACGCATCTGCCTCAGCAGAGCTTCATTCTGAAAAACACAGCAGCAGATAAAGCTGAAAAATTGGTATGAACAATTGAGTTTTCTCAGCTGCATCGCTGATTCCAGTGTATACTGAGAGGTGGTGTTTGGTCTCACCGTGTTTTTGAGTGCATCAATTTCACAGTTGAGCGACTGAATCTGCCTCCTGGACTCATTGGCCTCCTGCTTGGCCTGCCTCAGAGCATCAGTGTTGCGCTTTGCAGACTCAGTCAAATCAGCAAACTGCAGGAACAAAACATGAAGTAGAGAAGCATGAAGGTGTGTTTGTGTGTTCCTGTGTGACCGTCAGCACGTCTCTCTCTTTGCCTACCTTGGACTTGTACCAGTCCTCAGACTCCTGCATGTTCTTTAAGGCAATGGTCTCATATTGAGCCCTGATGTCTCTCAGGGCGCCAGTTAGATCAGGCCTGGAGCTGCTGTCCACCTCCAGCTTCAGCTGCTGGGTCTGGACACTCACTTGGACGTCCTGGATTTCCTGATAATAACCAAGATATGGACACAAATGAACAGAAATGAAATGAAAAGCAGCAAAAATACTGACAAATAAACCAATGATCCATGCTGAACTGTTAAACATGTATTAGATTACTATCCTCTGGGGTCCAATTCAAGACCCCTATTCTTCTCTACACAGAATCTCTTGCTGATGTAATGACATCATAGTCAACCAACTTATATGCTGATGACACTTAAATAATCTCTTCACAGCCGCCTACTGAAACTCTGCAACTGCTCACCTTGCAGATATTACTGCCTATTCTTGTAGAGACACTGCCAATAAAGATCTCTTTCACCACTTCAAATCAGATTAAAACAACACATTTTTAAAATGTGTGACCCAGATGGACCCTAAATATAACACGCTGCTTCACTGTCAGTGGTATCCACCCACTCACTTGTTTTTAGCCTGAAAAAAAAAAGAAGGAAATGTAAGTACGAAATCATATTATTTACTATCTGCCACAAGTGTTATATTTTGCTTTCATTCTATGGAACAGAAAGTAAATTAAAATCAGTTGTAGAGAAGAAGTTTATTATTGTTAGACAACCACATCAGTGACTGCAGCATCTTGTGCACTGCTGGTCAGCTTATTGCTGGGATGATGTCATGGCAGGAAGAACTTCTAGTTTCGCATGAACATTCAAGTTCTGCAAAAGCTGAGTGTTAGCACTGTAGATCTGTAGATACCATCCTGTGTACGGTGATGACTGAAAGAAGGGACATGCATACAAGACAGGCAGAAGGGCCCCCTCTCCCTGCATCATGCAAACCCCTTGATCGATAAAGTTGGACAAAAAGCAAAAAGAAACTATAAAGTAACCTTTTACTAGTTTCTTATTATGCTTTTATTATTGTGACACTCTCATATCTTACATGTATCTGCATGTGTTAAGAGTGAAATTCTCTGACCTTTATCCTACTTATATCATAACCACATGTGTGTTGCTCTTATGGTGTGCTTATTATCTTGTTTTGAACATTTTGATCTCAAATAAAAAATTTTGCTTTTATGACTGACCTGATACACTTATTAGATCATCACTGTTCCAATACATGGAGTGTTTTATATTTTATTTTTTACTTAAAGAAGATTTAAATTTTTAGTGATATCTTTTAATCACCTTTGCATTTTAGTAGTTGGCACAATGTTTGTTTTTATTGATGCCTTTTTACATGACAACATCTAACCTCTGTTACAGGAGTGCAGTGTTTTTTTTATTATTGGTGTTTATTAGTTCAATAGGCCTCTCTTACATTTTCATTCAATACTTATCTTACATTATTATTGCCTTTGTTGATCTCTTTATTACAAGTGATTCACTCATTTCTTTATTGTTGTAATTCATTCATTTATTCATTTTATCTCTGTGCAAAAAGGGAAGCTTTACTGTGAGTAACGTATTGAAAGAATTGGCTCCTGTGAACTTCTGTTCGAGCCCCTCTGTAGAAAGCATGAGCCGTGTATGGGCTCACAGGATGTAACGTCTGTGGTTAAGCCAATTTTAGCACAAATTATATTTTGTTGAACCATTACACACACACACTGCAGCTTCCTGCATAGCAACAAGCCTAGCAATAAAGGACATCATCTGGGGCTGGGGCTCCAGTCTGTGGACAGGTATAAAAACCTCTGGCCATGAGGAAACTTCGTTGTCATCTTCAAATGGGCTGACAGCGCCTTGACAGAGACTCAGACCAGTACTAAATACATTAACTCTTTGTCTATGTTAGGGTGACTCTTGCACCTCCCAGGAGGACTGTAGTGAACATTTCACTGTGAAAGAAATTTCTGTAAAGCTGTGCTGATTTTTCTCTGTGCTCTTCCTTCAACCACACCTTGAGAGGTTTTATCTTTTAGGTTTCAGAGGTAAGACCCCTCTGTGGGAAAGGCCAAAGTTCTGAATAAAGAGGGAATACAGCAATGAATGATCTTCAGGGAAACCTAAAGGGGTTTGTCCTTTAAAATGAATTAACAAGGAAATGGTTTTTATTTTAAGATTATTTGAAAAATAATGGACATTTATTTCAAAATGATCTGAAACAAATGTTGACTTATTAACAAAGCCAGTGAGAATAGTGTGATTTAAACCAAGTAGCATTATCCAAAGGTATCTTGCATACACTCAGGAGATCACAATTGCTTAATAAACACTGTTAAGATAAACTACCTGATTACTATTTGGGGACACTATAGTATAAACCTAGTGTGTTCAGAACAGAAAATATAAACTTGGGAGACTACAAATGCTGGTAATTACCTAATGTCAGGGAGTGAGCGTAACCCCACTGTACATTCATTGCTATTCAGTGTGGCAGATTCTATGGTACGTAAATATCTGACACCTCTCAGTGTGGAAAAGACAGGCACTAAAGAAAAGGCAGTGTTTACATTACAACAAGAACAGTGGAAAAGTGCAGAATCACTTACTTCATCATGGAGCTTCTTAAGGAATTCAATCTCATCCATCAGAGACTCAATCTTTCTCTCCAGCTCCAGACGGGACAGAGTGGCATCATCCACATCCTAGTTGTCGTATGAGACAAACCTAAGTTACTGGGCATTGCATCATAAGTTTAGTTTCAAAGAATATATAACGATATGCTGAAATACTTTTTTGTATGTGGTGTAACAACTGGTTTCCTCTCCCCATATAGATGCATATACTGTATACTGAGTTACAGTACAAAGGGTACACAAACCCCTCTTTATAGATACAGTACATTCCAGGTTTAAATTCACCAGGACTGATTTTGCCATAGTTTTAGGAATAAAAGCAAACAAAAGCCAAAATGTGTTGGCCAACAGCAGTTAAGATAAATGTGCAATTGTTTCACTCGTACTTTTTACAGCCTTAGGTGGAAAAATATTACAATACTAAAGTGCCTTAGCATAAAAGAAAAGTCTCTGTCCAGTGTAGCTGTTTGCACAATGACATTTTAGAAAAGTGCTCTGTCATATTTTTATACGGGTGCTGCAGATGGAACAAAGGTCTTTATTTTGACCTTTTACCCAAGCTTGAGGACACCGTCATCAATATGGTAATCATGGTCCAGTGAGCTGAGTGTTTACCTTGCGAAAGGCAGCCAGGTTATTCTCAGCATCTGCCCTCTTCTGGGCTTCTTCATCCAACCTTGAGGACAAAGAGGAAAATGAAAATATTTTACACAGATTTTCTTCAGGATCCAAGAATCTGCTTTTCACAAAAGGGGAGAGAGAGGAACATGTTTAAGCTTGTCTAAGGTTACACCAGGGCATCAGCTGGCAAACACCCTTCAGAATCAATTTGTTAATGTACAGTCCTGTTAAAAGGGTTTTGGGAGTGCACCCAGTGGGATCAGCAGCTGCTCCTTTCAACTAATGTGCTTTCCCCACAGTTCATTCAGGTCACCTACACTTGCTCAGTGAGGTTGTGTACACATGCTTCCCCTTCTTTTTAAAGATTTCAAATGGATGGTTTAATATTGACTAGTGCACCGTGAAGAAAATGTGAGTGATATTTAGAAATGTCTAGTATGTTGGATCAGCATACAGGAGACACAGGAGACATGTGAATTGTCCTAAGCTGGAATGTGATTTGCTGCTACCACAAGAAATGAAAATGAAAAATGCCCTGATTTTTATCTTAATGCTTTAGCAAAGTCAGGTACAATTCAGGAGTCAATGTGACGACATCACAGATTACCTCACAGTGCCCTATACATAAATTTGCTCCATCTCTGGGCCATCTATGAGGTCAATGTGTGGTTGAATCCATCTGTCCTGTCCAGCCTGGACATTAGCTAGATTAGTGAGGAAACATCACATGGTGGGTCCTGCTTCCTCATCTTTAATTCATGCTGTGTTACACAGGGCCCTTTTGTCCTAATGGGGTCTCTGGCACCATCCCATCAACAGGGACACTGAAAACTCACCTAATGGAGTGATCGAGTCACATTGATTTTTCCTGGCGCTGGCCACGCCTGATCTCCAGCCTCTCTTCCTCTGTTCTCATTTACTCTCTCACTCCCTTCTGTGCTCCTCAGCCAGCCCCACCCTGTGTCCGATTCATTCATCTATCCTCCATCTTTCCCATCTCATCTCCCTTCTATGCATATATAGTTGTGCAAGTCTATACATTAAGGTTCTTTAAGGGAGCTGCTTCATTCTTATCTGACTTGGTAACAAACTGTGTGCGAGAGTTTTCTGTCGGTCATGTTCCTATCATAGTGAACATCTTGTTTTATGATTATCACAGCTCACAGGAAAGACATTCGATGAACACATATTTGTACATGGAAACAGTCTGATATACAGGTTGCAGTACTATTCTGTGGTGATCAGTCTGCTGATGTGCCACGCCCTACACCACCATCATTACTGGAACCTAAACACCCACCCAGGGACTTTCTCTACCTCCTCTGGTGCTAAAGTGGACCATGTAAAGTTTATTAGTGTCAATAAAAAATGTATTGGTGGCACTGGAGGTAAGCACAGAAGCTCAAGGTATAGGACTGACAAATCCACAACAGGGGAAACAACAGGAGAAAACTGTTGGGATGGCACTGAGCAGGATGCAACTAGCTCTGTCTACTGTAATGATTCTGTAATTTTCTTGACATAAGATCACACAGTTCCTCAAACTACTCTCTGTTTTCCTCTATCTGTAGTTACCCTTCAGACAAATCATCTTATATTATCACCCATGCACAAATCTGTCTTTCTATGTGTTCGTCTGTGCATCTCAGTCCAAGTTCAGTCATTAACTGATCTTGATTCTCTTTTCTTATCTCAGCATATGTTGGTACCAACCTCTGCTTGAGCAGGGCCAGGTCCTCAGCTAGGTTGTCCCTCTCCAGCTGGTACTGGTCCCTCTCTTTACCGATGGCATCCATCTGGCGCCGTAGCTCCCTCACCTCCTCCTGGAAGAGCTCAGAGGCGCGATTGGGCTGGCCGTGCTGCTGGCCCCTGAACTGTGTGAGCTCCACCTGAAGAGCATTATTCTGCTGCTCCAGGTACCGCACCTTCTCGATGAAGCTGGCAAAGCGGTCGTTGAGCTCCTGCAGCTCCGCTTTTTCGTTGCTGCGGGTGGTGAGGAACTCTTGGTTGATGGCTTCAGCCAAAGTGAAATCCACCTTGTCATAGGTTAAGCGAGGAGGCGGGACGCTGGAGCGGGACCGCTGTTGGTAAACGGTGGAGCGGGATGCCACCACAGGTGACGCTGAACGCATATAGCGCCCCCCAGAATAGGGCATACGGGAGGCCACGGAGGAGTAGGAGGACATGGAGACTGGGTGTGGGCTTCCAAAAGTGCGCCTGTAGGAGGTGGAGGTATGCAGTGAAGAGTGGCTCATGATTGGTCTTGTTCTGTTCTCTGTCGTTGTGGGAAGATGGAGAGCCTGAGTCTTGGTGATGCAACAGGACATCAGTGTGAAGAGTGCGGCGGGTTTTTATGGTCTCAGGCTGGCTCATCTCATTATCCTCACACCTCCCCCTTCCTCCATCATCTGTCCTTAACCCACCCACATGAACCCTTCCTTCCTCAAGTGCTCGTCAATATACAAGCTTTGGCCACTCCCTTCACTCCAGAGACAGTGTGTGCTTCATCGGCTCTCTGTCTCGATAGGTCTTCATTTTTAACCAGAGGATTTGGCAGAAGTCCAGAATGGCTTCCATACTACTGGTTTGATTCCCTACCACTACCCCCTACCCCTTCTGATGCATGCTCTTGACACTGTAAGTCAGTTTGGATTGTTGTTTCTCCACAATTCATACATTTGTTTACTCTTTAGGTTTGCTGTGTTAATGTTCCTAACTTTACTATCAAAAGTGTGCCAAGGATTCTGTTACCTGTTTCCCAGTAAGAAAATGTGAAATTGTAGCCTAAATTGAATCACATGGATACATTGATTTGATTCCCCCCCTCCCCCAGTCTGTCTCTCCTTTTACAGTAATGGAATACTTTATTGATATTCTGGGCGTCTGGGAGAGAGCTGTGACTCTGCAGTTATTCTATCCTCTTCAAATGAAATAATCTCTGCCAGAGTACAATTTGCCATATATATGGGTAATTTTGTAGTCAACAGTTTTTTTGAAGGAGTCATACAGACTTTGGAACAGAATGAAAGACATATCTCAGAATAGTTGTTATAGCAGATCCATGAACTCAATGACCTCCCCAGCACTTTATGAAGACATAGCCACATTTTTATTGTTTGATGTAACTTCAAGAACAAGTTAGCTGTTGTAGCATTTAGCCAACTTATAAGCACAGTTAATATTTGATTGTGGTGTTCATTAACATTTGCAATACTAAATTTTATACCACCACATCTCAGAAAAACATAGACTCACCACCTTGTGGTTATAAGCCCTGCCAACCAGTGACTATGAGTGACTATGACCTTTGGCCACCAAAACCGAATAATTTCATCTCTGAGTCCAAGTGGACATTTACCGGTATGCCAAATTTGAAGCAGTCTCCTCTTGAGATGGATGGATGAACAGATGTAAAGACAGCCAGCCCAAAAACATAACAGCTATCTCCAGTGCGGAGGTAAGCAATATTAATGGGCATAGAAAGAATTTAAAAGATTAACAATAGAAGATCGAAATAATCAAAAACTAAATATAAAGAGATATGAAGTGGCTCTGAAGAATAAAACAGAAGTTCAAGGGCTAGCAATGTAAAGTTATGATATCTCACAATACCTTTTTGAAATATTAAGTCAGTCACTGAGGGAAGCATTAAGCTCATGATGACCTGGCAACCTGCAGCAAAATTCATATACACTATCCCATGCTTATAGAAAAGGTTCAACATTTTGTATATTGTTGTAAGATTTTTACACAAGCAAGTCTATGTACTGTAAAATGGCACCTTCAACTCTCTCAGCAGATCTATGCACATGTCTGTGGACTTGTATTGTCATCTTTGTGAGGACCAATTTCAGTTTTAACTCACTGTAGTGAAGACATTTCTGTAATATAATGACATTTTATAGCCAGTCCTCACTACTTACTGTAGTGAAGACATTTCTGTAATATAACATTTTATAGCCAGTCCTCACTACTTCAAAGCACAGTTTGAATGTGAAGATCAGTGAAGATCCTTGCAAGTACAGGAAGACAATGTCACAAATGTGTGTGTGTTTTAAGATCATTTTCTAATTTGAAGTCTGCAGACCAGTACAGAATAACATGACATAATTCTGAGCATGCTCTGTGTCGACTGGGTGTGGTACCTTCTTCCTTTTGTGTCCTCAGTGATGCTTGGTACCTTTAACCCTTTCATATGTATTTGTGCTCTTGTATATTTAAAACAAGAGAGAACCAAATATAACACATTCAAACAAATATATCAAGCACACATGCACATCGTTACACACAGAATCAGCAGCTTTTATTCTAATCTGTACTCATTACTTTTTCTAATGAAATGGAACTTTAGATTTCCTCTTCCTAATTAATAATCTGTTACATTGTAGTAAAAATATAGTAGTCTCTTTTTCTGTCTGTCATTAACAAACACACATAGGCACTGCCACTGCCGAGGTCTGGCTCTGTGTAATAAATGGCCCATCTTAGTCTTCGCGCTGTAATCTAATCAACCTGCTTTATGGTCAGTAACTCTCTCTTCTCCCTCCCTCCCCCTCTGTCTCATCCTGTTTCACTTTCTCTGATCAGAGCACATCTCACTTTATATTCTTTTTGTCTGCTCAAACCTCAGCTCCATATCAACGTTCACTTTATATCAGGGTTTCTGCATTCTAATTAAGAGCATGTATGTCATCACACACACAAAAGCATAGACTCAATCATTTTGGACTGGGCTGCATCAGTAACATTAACCAGAAACCAGATGTCACCATTAGCAATTGATCCTTATGGTTTTTGAAGACTTCCCCAAGGGGCCATAGGTTCAATCATGCTTCTTCGACAGGCTCAGGATAGAATATCTGTTCCCATTTCCACCCACTGGAGTCAAAGTGTCATGTTTCAAATCTAAACAGGCACTGAGCTATATCAGTTATAAGGGATAGTATAAAACAAACATGGTATAAATATAGTGTGATATAATTTAAATATAGTGTGAGATTTAATTTGGGGGCAGGGAGTGGATTCATCCAATTTTCCCTGATGATGTTCAAGTGCTGGGTGTGGTCTCTGGAAAGACAGAAGGAAAATCAAAGGCCATTATTACAAATGATTCTGATGCCATAAAATGTGAAGTACAGTGGTTTTAGAAGCAGTTTTATGACCAGATCAGCATGGTTAAAGCATACTGATGCCTTTAGTGGTGCCTTATGATACAACCACAGCTGACAGAAAAGGCCTTATAATCTGACAAAGAAAAACAAATACATCTCCAAAAGTTCACTAGATCTAGTGCAGCCACTGATAGTAATTTGCTGTGAGGAGGACAAATGGTCAGCATGCTGTGACCTATTAAAAGCTACAGTCTTGGTAAGGTCTAGAAGGGCTGTCATCTGTGAAAAATGATGGCAGCCAAGAAGTGTTGGATGCAGAGCATGTTTGGAGTCACAGAGATGACCAAACAGCTCTTGGTACCAAATGCTGTCCCCTAATGGGTGGTTGGGCATGGCCCCCCTACTAAATATTTTCTGCAGGCCCTACTGCTTGGTACATGTGACCAAAGATGTTAATAGCTAAGAATGATTAATGGCTGCGTTTTGTAATTAATGTAATGGAGTACTGCAGTGTGGAAGGATATTCATTTGGATTATTTATGTATGCAAAGTAAGTGCAGAGTGAGACAGTGAAACATTATCATGCAAGAGTGTATGAATGATTAAAACCACACCAATACAAATTGACTTGATAAATCCAAAAGGTTTGGTGAGAAACGTCTGCAGGATGTACCTGTTTTAGTTCACATTTTGCTGAGCAGAGACCAAAAATTAAAACACCAGTGCAAAAATGCAAAAGACGGAATTCTGAAATCAGCCACTATAAGGTGCAAGGCAACAGCCTTTACACAAACAGCTTCTACTTTGGAATTGGATTTAGGCACAGATATTCTCTTTTATGTCCCCATGACCCCACATGTTGTTTCTGCTATTAAAGATTTTGCTGCAGTCATATCAGTTCTTTATCCTTTGCAGTGTCTGACATGCATGTTATTACCAGTGGCTCTCGTCAGCTCAGTGCAGCATCTTAGTAAATCATATTAACTGAGCAGAGAACAGAGCGCAAGGATAATATTTTCTTAGTGCACTCAGCTGCTGTGTTCTGAAACCACACCACTGTCTGTGCACGTCTTTGCTGCTCTGCTTAAATGCTGTGTATGATTGTAAATATTTTATAAAGTTGTAGTTTGCAATATTCCAAACAAGGCATCCATTATTTTTAGAATATTGCACCACCCTCCCAAATGTTATGTGTTGTTATGTTGTGGTGATATAATTATCAGTTATCACCTCATAAAGGTAATATAGCAAATGTGTCAGAAAATGGAAACGCTTATTTACACACCTGTCAGACTCAAAGCACTACGCATTTTGTATTCTTCATTGATTTTACCATACTTAGAGTATTGCGTTGAAAACTGGGGAAACACATACAAAAGCTCACTTCAACCATTGTATATATTACAAAAAAGAGCGATAAGAATTGTGCATAAGATGGGATATAGGGATCACACCAATGTAGCTTTCATACAGTCTAAATTGTTAAAATTCTTTGATTTAGTGGGATATAAGACTGCTGTGTTTATGTATAAAGCCAGGAACAATTTATTACCTGGTGGAATTCAAAAACTATTTAATGAAAGGGAAGGGGGATACAATTTAAGGGGTCAGTTAAATTTAAAAATTCATGCTATACGTACAACCAAAAAAAGATTCTGTATTTCCATAAGTGGGGTAAAACTATGGAATAATTTAAGTGT